ACATCGAACTGCAAACTTTCGATTATAAAGGTATGACTTAAGCAGTTTGTGTGTGCTTTGTGGGAGTAGCATTTGTATTTTATACATAAGACCATCTAGCCAGACGCGGTCAAATGCCTGGGCCCTCTTTTCAAAAGCTGTTCGGATTTCGGTTGTTATGCGATTTACCTGCTCGATTGTTCCAGGTTTTTCCCTGAAGCCAATTGGTGGTATTATATTGCGGGCTTGCAGATGTGGGGAGATGCGCAGCATAAGAAGTTTTTCGAATAATTTCGACATACACGGTAGCAGGCTGATGGGCCTATATGAAGATGGCTACGTTTTGTCCTTTCCGGGCTTTGGTATCATCACAATAGTCGACTTTTTCCATTGGTGAGGGAAATGACAATATTTAGTGATTGCGTTAAATAGCATACAGATGCAAAGTACAGCATTCCATTCTTATGGTCTTAAAGTACTGCCAGACCATGTTGAAAGTGCATAGTTGCAAATATCAGTCAACATTCTGCAGATGGCTTGAAATTTTGATAGATTTGTTTTGAAAGTGTATAGAAAATGAATTGAAGGTCGCCTGCCAATTCTTATGGTCTTAAAGTGCCGCCAGCCCATTTTGAAAGTGCATTGTTGCAATTATAACTCAATATACTTCAGATGACTTTTGAATTTTGATAGCATTTTATTTACAGTGTATATAACAGGAATTCAAGGCCAGCCCCTTCCGATGGTCTTAAAGTACTACCAGCCCATGTTGGAAGTATAAGTCAACATACTTCAGATGACTTGAAATTTTGATAGAATTGTATTTGCAGTGTATATGAAAGGAATTCAAGGTTGCCTGCCAATTCCTATGGTCTTAAAGTATTGCCAGCTGTCTATAAGTGCATCGCTTACTAACTTTATGAGGAGAGTGTTTCACTGGGTACAAATTGAGTTATTTGAACTTAGTAGATTAATGAGACATTCTAGGGTAAAAGGATCTCAGAAAGATATACAGCACTCGAAATTATCTTTTTAACCATTTATCGAACTTTCAACGATATATCACACTTTGGAATCCGGTAATAAATAAAACAAAATATGAGGTAAACTCAACGAAAATTTTATGACCCTAAAATCCTCTCAAAGTAAGCTTTCAAACTAAGGAGGTAATTGCAGAGTCTTTTCTATGACTTATACTTGCAGTAATGTACTTTCAACGTGAGCTGTCAGTATTTTAAGACCAACCGAATGGGCTGGCAGTAGAACTTTCATCTATTTACAATATTACTAATGTGCTGTCGAAGGGACAGTCCATTTGAAGTGTGATGATTAATAGTTGCAACAAAGCATTTTCAATATGGACTGGCAATAGTTTAATACCATAGGAATTGGCAGGCAACCATGAATTCCTTTCATATACACTGCAAATACAATTCTATCAAAATTTCAAGTCATCTGAAGTATGTTGACTTATACTTCCAACATGGGTTGGTAGTACTTTAAGACGAAGAAGATGGGGCAGGCTGTAGAAATTTCATATATTTATAATATTACTAATGTGCTGTTAACAAGACAGCCCATCTGAAGTATGTTGACTTATAGGTGCAACAATGCACTTTCCACATGGTCTGGTAGTACTTTAAGACCATAAGAATGGGCAGGCAACCTTGAATTCATTTTCTATATACTGTAAATAAAATTCTATTAAAATTTCAAGTCATTTATTTATTTATTTGGTCTACAGAAAAATGTTTTCTTACAGACAAATGCGAGTAGAACATTTATGGTGCATTTACATGGTATGAAGTCATATGAACTGTTGATGCGATGAAATAGAGGGACTACATGTTCCAATGAGGAATTCAATGATATCGAGTGGGATGCATATAATACATTTTTTCATATGAAAAATTATGGTGAGATACTGTAAGCCTACTGTTGTGATACTGTTAAGCATATGAAATTATAACAAGTTGGATTTACATACATCTTTCTATAAAAAGTTTAACAGATGCAGAGATACCAAGGAGGTTTTTTACCATTTTGATGCCTTTTCAATATAAAAACCCACCGAAAAGGAGGAAAGCGGCAACTCCGCCATTCACATACATGTCAAAAGTATGCATTTTAAAAATTAAAAACAATAAACAAACAAATTGAAAACAAAGAAATTCTTTGTACTAGAACTTTTTAAATAGAAGCAACTCACGTATAGTGGACAATAAAAATACAAAGCACTATGATAACAAACTTAAAAACAAGACATTACAGAACATTTTAATGAGCTTTATATCACATTTAAGTAAAAATAAGCCTATATTTCCCAAGTTTGCAAAGAAATGAAAATGTGTATTTTTTGTTGTTTACAAAAAGACTTGCCAAATTACATATAAGTCAAAATTATAGAAGGCATGTATACTTCTCCCTTCCATTTTTTAATACAGTTTATGTTTCTTTCTGGCTTTTACAAAATCAAGGATACCGCACTTATTTCGGTACAATATGATCGTAATGTATTTTCAATTCGAAATCGAAGAAAAACATCCCACGAAAATGTTTGCGATTTTAGAACAATTAGTGTATATTTGCCAACTACTGCAAAGAATGGAGTGTCATATCTTAAAAGGTTCAGAGAATTAACGAAACAAACAAACATTTTATAGTTTCATGTTTCTTTCAAACCGCATTGCTATTTTTTCTAACTTTTCCTTTTGTTATATCTTTTAATTTATACATGTGAATTATTTTCAATGTGCATTTTTTCATTTGTTCCTGAATTTTGGGTACATTTTCTTATAGTACCTCTCATTCTTTTTTATATTACATATATACACTCCGATGTTCGGGATAGTATTTTGAATATACCAGCAATATATGTAAAAGTAGTGGCGGCTGCTGTAGAGCATTACGCAGCGCCTGAGTTCAAGCCCAGTTTCCCACCAACATCAAAATATAAAAAACAAAAAAATTTTTCTGTTGGTAATAGTAAACCTCCGAGTGTATTCTGTCATGGAAACAGCTTCTCATAAAAATACAATTGCCGTTCGGAGTCGACTTAAAACTGTCCTTTACTTTGTGTGACAAAATGACGCACGCCGCATATCGGAGGAGAAGCTAGGCCAAACACTAACATATTGTGTAAGCGCCAATATGTATATCGTCGTTTAAAGTATAAAAGCGCGTATCGTGGTTCTGCAAAACCTCGAAACTGAAATTTGTGCAAAAAAAAAATATTTGGTCACCGGAAGCTCCTGACATCGAGCCCTTAGCCATTTATAATAATATATCGATACTTAGACATAAGGAGAAGAGATAATTAAGTTTATAAGAGAGAACCGTTTTTAATTAGGACTCGTTTTACTCTCTCCTATAAAATTTAGGCAACCTCACATACGAGGTTTTGCATTTTCTTGATGCGCGGTTTTGTACTTTAAACGACGATATGTAGAAGTAAAATCCATTGAGAAACGGAGAAAACGGCATCCCTATGATTTCAACTTTTGCCAAACGTTTCGTAAACAAGCAATTCTGAACAAAAAACTGTTTTTCCGCAAAGATGTTTAAATAGAAGCATTACAAATATGGAAAAATAGCAATCCACAAGGCTTTAT